CCACCCCCAGGCAGACCCCACCCTCAGCATTTCTCAACAGAAGTTACTAGAGTCCACCATCCTGTCATCCAGCCACAGTGGAGCTCAGTGCCCAACGAGAGGTCACAGAAACAGTGTTAGCAGGCTGTCCACTTTGAACTGGCAAAGAGAGGGTCGGATGGAGAGGGAGCATCCTCACATTAGGGGGCCCAGTTCTGGTTTCCATTCACTTCTGCTCTTTCCTCAAGCAAGAGCTACAAGTGGGGCCACTGACCTTGGAGCGGTATCACAGTTAGTTTTGCTTCAGATTTCTCATTTGTCAAATGGGACTGATAGGGGATTAGAGAAGGTTCTGCTGGTAAGTTTCCAGGAATACACGTTAGCTCTTGTTATTATTTATCAGGTACCTGCTAAGGGCCAGGTCTTCTGGTAAGCATTTCACTGATAGCCCTCTTATGCCTCCCAATAGTCCTGCGCTTGCTCCTTAGTTTCCTTGGAGGAGATGGAGTCTCAGAGAGGTGAAGTCACATGTCCAAAGTCAACTGGTATGCGAAGGTGCCAGAATCCAACCAGGCTGGCCTGGCCTCGGAGCCTGTGCCATCGCTGTGGTTTCGAGAGTAAACAGTGTACAAGCAGACATCCTCTGTGCAGTGGGCCCGGAGCCATCAGGCTAAACAACCCTGCTCCACACCGTTCTGGGTAATTCGTATCCACTGAGCAAACAGACCATTCTGGGCACGAATTCCCTTGTGTCAACTTGCCTGTTCTAGGAATTCTCAGTATATACGTTGGAGCCTGACCAAAAATTCACAGCAAGTCTGGCCTTTTTTGAGATCCATCCCATTGGACTTAGATAGTAATAAACTGAAGGACCCTTCAAAAAAAGGAAAAGAAAAAAAAACCTCAGTGACCCTTCCTAGGAGCTGGGGACTCACTCCTGTCTTCTCCCAAAGGATGACTTTTAAGAAATTCTTGTACACCTTAGAGTCCTCATGTCTTGAAAGACTCAGGGAACCCAGCTGCCCCACCTGTGGCTCCCTTTCCTTGCCCTAGGCCTAGCTAGACCTTCTCTCTCTCCTCATAGCACCCTCTGCATGCATCTATTAGAGCAACTTGTCACAGGACTTTTCCAAGTCCTGGCCTCTTCCTGACTGTTGGAGAACAGAATGCACCTCTTACTCACCTTATAGCCCCAGAATATGTCACATTTCCTGGAACAGCAATAATAACCAAATTGTTATCCTAGTTGACATTTATTGGGTACTTAATTATCCCTTTTGAAGTAAGTACTATTGTATTCCTTACTTTAAAAGTAAGGAAAATGTAGCCAGACGTGGTGGTGCATGCCTGTAATCCCAGCAGCTTGGGAGGCTGAAGCAGGAGGATCGCAAGTTCAAAGCCAGCCTTAGCAAAAGCGAGGCGCTAAGCAACTCAGTGAGACCCTGTCTCTAAATAAATATGAAATAGGGCTGGGGATGTGGCTCAGTGGTCAAGTGCCCCTGAGATTAATACCTGGTACCCCACCCCCCAAAAAAGTAAGGAAAATGGGGCACATAGACGTTCACTTACTTTGAAAGTCATAAAACCATAGGTGGTAGAGCTGGATAAGAACCCAAGTGGCCTAAGTCTAGACTCCAGCTTTTAACCATATTCTGTGTTGCCTTCATACAGTGCTTAATTAATTAATGTGTGTAAATGGTTCTGCACATGAATGTAATTTCTGGGTTTGGGGAAATATGATCTGACCATGGCATACTTCAATTTGTGACATACTTAAATCTCGTGTCCTGCTTCTGTGATTCTGTAGTGCATGTCTGTGTCTGTGTCTGTGGGCACAGGAAAGGCAGCCCTTGTGAGCATGCATTAGAGAGGTACAAATGCAAATTCTGCCTTCCCCCATTGATGAGCATCACTTCTTGGGGACAGTCACTTATACATTCTTAGTGACGTTTTCCTTAACTGGAAAAATAGGAATAATAATGGTGCCTACCTCATACAGTAACTCAGAATAAAGGAAATATTGAGGGAATAATTAAAGTGAATGATATAAGTAACCATTCCTGGAACACAGTACTCACTCAACAAACACAAGCAGATATTGTTGTTATTATCACTGTTGTCATGGACATTGTTTTTAAACCTTGATCATTGAGATTACTATTTCCTATCAGTGGGCAGATACCTCTGAGCCAGTGTGAGCAATAAACATGTAGCTGCAACATGAAGTTCAAAGTCACCAAACTCAGGACAGAGATGTTTTGTCCCATGTACTGCAAAGTATTCCAGAACTTTTGGAGTTTAATCAATATTGGCACCACACTGTGGGGTTCAGGGAGCCTGGGCAGGGAGTGAACTGGGGAAGTCCATCGTCAGTACAAACCTCTGATGAGCAGTGGCTTCTCCATGAACAGTGGGACAAAGGTAGAGTGGACAGCTGTATAGCCGAGGCTGATGGGAGATCACAGGATGCTGAATGCGTAACAGCTAACGAGCTACAATTTATTGTTCAGTTGGCATTGAACTTGGCGTATAAGAGAGTCTCATTTGCTCACTCAGCAATATTATTCAGCCAGCCACTCTTTCAGGCCAGGAAATATAGAATAAAACATATAAAATATTCACGTCTTTTGCACTTTACATCGTCTACACTAACTGAGGTGTCACAACAACACTGTGATGCAAATGCTGTCATTTCCATCAGGAAGATGAGGGAGCTGAGGTTCAGAGAGGTCCAGTTACCTTGCCTGGGGCCTCATAATTGGGAAGTGGTGGGCCTGGGCTTTGAATCCAGGTCTTCCTGGTGTTAAAGTCAATTCTTCAACCACTCCATGATACTACATAGCAAGGAAACAGCAAATTCTGGAATCATGTGTGTTGCAGGGATTTGTTAATTCAGATCTCTATCTTGGCAGCTGTAGTTGTGTCATGGTAATAATTGCAATCCTCGATTTGCAGAACAAGAAATTTTGGTTGTAGCTCCTGGTCATAAGTCCCACCTGTCATTTTACTGCTTCTGATCAAAATTGATGTATACTCAGCAGCCTCAACAAAGAGAGGAACTTCTATGTTTAGGTCAATAACCAAGTAGAGGCCCTGGAATCCAGTGGTTCATTCCCAGCAGTGCCTGCTTAGCAATTCCTGGGTGCCCTCCAAGGCTGGACAAGACCAGCAGGTACCCTGCCCATTGAAACATTATCTGACCATGGAGCTGGTGCTCAGATGTCAGTGAGTTTGGACAGAAAGAATGAAATGCTGTGGCCTATTCAGGGCTGTGGGTGGTGGGCAGCTGTTGGCCCATTTGTTCAGGCTCTTGCATGCCCATTTTCCTTGAATTGGAGCATTTCAAATGCCACTGAAAGGGGAAGGAGGAGGGCAGTTGGTCACTGCAATAAAGCACCAAGAGCCCCAAAGCAGTGCTATTTTGGGTCAGGATCTTGGTGGGCTCATTTTGTTTCTAGGAAGCACAGGCACTACTTAAGATTAAAAGTTTACTCATTTAGCAGAAGCTGCTCCGTGGCCCTCTGATCCCATCCACATAATTTCACAGTGTGAGGGCAGTGCATTCACGTGGGAAGGACGTTGTAGTAGGACATCGGGAGACCCGAATTCTGGACCTGGTTCCACCCCAGCGGGCTTTCCTTTCCTTACCCATAAAGCAAAGGGGATAGAACTGAATTTTGATGTTTCCTATGGTCCCTTCTGGCTCTAAAGTTGTGAGTTTGTTATTTGATATTTGTAGCCTTCTAGTGTCTTTTTAATTTTCATGCTCTGTCTTCAAAAACCACATTTTTTTCTGCTCCTTTACTGCAGCATTCTTTCTATTGCTTCAGAGTCCACAGTGCTTCTCTTTAATTTCTGATACTTATTTGTTAAATGAATGAATGACTACATGTAGGAGGGAATAATGAGTGAGTACAACCACTGTTAACATGCTGGTGTAGCACCCAGACTGGGACTCTATGTGCTTCAGGGTGGATTGCTAGGATGTGACATGGGCACACCAAAATCAATTTCTGATTATTGCTCTTACAATGATATATCTTATTTTCTGTAAATATGGAGTAGTGTATGTGCATGTGGTTTTGTAACCACCTTTTATCAACGGTGAAGTTTTTTTTTCTCTGTCACCAAGATTCTCTTATTTAATTTTAATGGCTGCATCCTATTCTGTTGTAGAGTTTACAGTAGTCTATTTAATCAATTCCTTACCCTTACTTTCACATTGAGTTTTCTGTACCATAAATGACATATAGTTTACTTTAAAAACAAAATACATTGCTTTGGTAACAAGAAACACATTTTCCCTTAAGAAATGCTCATCCCATGACTCTGAACACCCCTGCTTAATCCAGAACAGCAGTCTGTAGAGGGAGGTGGAGAGAGGAACTGAGGACATCCCAGCCTGGCTTCCACATGCAGAGAGAACCACCATCACTGGCACTTATATTGCCTTTGAAGGACTGTGAAGCATTGGTCCCTTTTTTCTCTTGAATAGGACTAGGAGAAAATGTGGGGCCAGGTCATATGAAAAGAGGATCCAGCTCGAGATTAAAGGCCTGGACTGGAAACTCCCCTCTACTGTCTGGCCTCAGACAAAACAAACCTTGGTTTATTTTTCTGTGAATGACAATATTCATATCATTACTTTCAGTGTTTGCCCTTACATCACAGACTTGGAAAATGGAGGCAGAGGAGGTGGAGCATAAAATGAGATAATGGGTACAAGGTTGATTTGATTGATCTGTTTGAAGCACTGAAGTCAATGTTCTAGGGAAGTGAGTTATGGAGAGCATGGGGTGGCTAGTTCTTAACTGCAGCCTGGAATGTCTCTGGAGTTAACAGTGGTTTTTGAGAAAGTCCTCACCTTACATACCACTATTAAGAGAGAGCAATAGCGGTAATTCAATCCTTTACCGTTTGCATGCGTTTTTATTTTTAATCCTTGCCAGATGTAGACTGGCCGTGAGCCCAGAGACTGAGCTTTTTCTGATAGAGGTGGTTTTGTTCTTGTCTCCTTATAGACAAAGAGTTCTTAAAAGAAAAGGAGAAGTTAGAGATGGAGTTAGCAGCTGTGCGCACTGCGAGTGAGGACCATCGGAGACACATTGAGATCCTGGACCAGGCTTTGAGCAATGCCCAGGCCAGAGTCATCAAGCTGGAAGAGGAGGTGAGACCAGGCTGGAGGGTGATTGGGTCAGGGAGGAGGGAGGCAGAGCCCTGAGGGCCTCCCCTTCCTTTTCCTACCCCTGCTTACTTTAACCAGATCCAGATCCAAGGAGTTGAGATCGGGGAGGGATGTGGGAAACCTCCCAAATATAAATGAATAAAAGCAGCCGTTTATCCACCCAGAGCCAGGCAGAGTATGAAAGGCACACATGAATACCATCAGCAAAGAGCTCACAACCTTAAGCCCAGCCTGCAGCCCACTGGTAGGCAAGTGTCCAGAGCTGGCAATAAATATAAGAACAGGAAACCACTGGTGCCTATGCAGAGAAGGGACTAACGATTTTTGGAAAGTGTTCAGTCGCTGTGTCTTTAGGCTCCCGATTACATAGAAAAAGGCAAAAGCCTTCTGGTGGAGTAGTGTGGGGTGGTATCCCGTAGATGTGTTTCTAATTTCCAGAGGTTGTCTTGACCCATACAGTACCTCCTGCTTCTAGTCCAGGAAATTTGGATCCCACTCAAACACCGGATTTAGTAGAGTCTGATGAAATCACCCTTCAGCTTAACTTTTGTGATGTGCACTTTCCCTTTAAGCCTGACTGAGCAGTCAGAATAACCATTTCTAAGGTTCAAGCCAGAGGAGCCTGGCTGTGAGGTCAAGGCAGGAGAGGAAGGGAGGTGCATCCAGGCAGCCAGGGGCCTGTGCCCGCACCATCCAGCTCCCTGGGGGACACAGGCACCCCTGTGCTGTGGAGATGACCTGAGCAGATTCCCTCCTGGGAGGCAAACGTGCTGTGTCAGCAAGAGGTTTAACTGAAACAGTCTACGTCAGTACTTAGCTGGATGCTTTGGCACACAAACAACAACTGTGCAACTGTGGTTGTTGAAAAAAGAAAAGAAAAAAAAAGTTTTCCCTTCAGAAAATGTTACCTGGGGCCAGGTAACTCAGATGTCCCCTCAAACCTCAGTACTTGAAGGGAATGCAGCTGGAGAGGAGGGATTTCGGTAAACAAGGGCCTTGCCCAGTAGAAGCCTCAGAAACCCCGTGTAGGGACGATTCTAATATTAGCGGGAGGATCCCGAGCAGCAGCTGAGTATTTCGCTTGTCACCACAGAAAATGACCTGAACCCTTGAAGGACAGGAGGTCTGTTCTGAGGAAGGGAGGCCTGGACTTATTATTGTCATCACTGAAATAATTTCCTGTGGCTCTGTCTTTCTGTGTGGAGCTGAGGACAATCATAATTTTTTAAATTGTTGTACTGTTAAAGTGAAAGCTGGCTGTGGGATCCTTGAAGACAGGCTCTTTACAATCGCCATTAGGGTTTCTTCTTGTCATGGTTTTTATGAAACATCCTTGCTTAGTGGCGTCACATGTGCCTGACTTCCAGCCTCACTGCTTGTTCTTAATAAGTTTCTTTTGAAAGGTCTTAATTCAGTGCACATGCCTACACTAGGTTACTGTGGTGGATGAAAGTAGATTGTAGAGCCAGGTGTGGAGGTGAGATGTGAGCCCCAGGACATACCAACTGTTTGACCTTGAGCAGGTCACTCAGCTTCTTCAAACTGGGTTTTCTCATCTCTCAAATGGGGATAATAAAGGATTTTACCTCCTACTACCTTTGGGAGGATTAAATGAGATACTACATAACACACCATGCTTGATGTGGTAGTGCTCTAAAAATGTTGGCTCTTATCATCACTGTTACAGATGCTTCTCATCATGATGTATTCCTACTAGACTTAAGGGTGATAAAAAGCAAAGGAGACAGTTCATGCCTGCAGTTGCTTAGGGATAATATTCATTCATTTATTCAACAAATACACATTAGGACACACTGCTCATTGGCCAGCAGGGACCAAAACAGACAAATCTCGTGCTGGCTTGTATTCTGTTGACTACATACTCAGGAAACTGTGTGTAGGGGAAAATGTACAAATGAACGGTACATAAAATATTGAGTCCACTGAGGCTTCTAAAAAGCACAAAAACAGTGCTTATTGGGTTCTCAGAAGTCTACTAAATTGAATGAGATGTTCAAAAGCGCAATGAATGAAAGGGTTCAGATAAGAACTGAACCCCCAAAAGAGAAGTAGAAAAATCTTTCAAGTTTCTGTCCCTCTTTGTAAGATTGGAAATGCCTCCATTTTCTTCTAGTGACTTCCAAGAGGTCAGGGTATAGGTGTAGCATACAGCACTGCTGCCCACTCAGTCAGAAACAAGCAAGCTGCAAAGTCACTAACACATCCTAGCTTTCCAGCCTGGTCTCCGCTGGAGCTCAGGATTGGATTGCCTGCAGGGCATCAGCACACCCAGGTGCAGAATGACAGGAAATTGGATCTGGTGTCTCCCACCTGAGACCAGAACAAGTAAATGCCTCAATCTGATTTTTGGCATCAGCCAGTTCCCAGAAATCTAAAAATGTGCCTGGATTTATGAACACAAGCCAGACTCCCAAATGGAAAAAAAAAAAAACAAAGTCTGAGGGTAAGATTTTGAAGTTGTTGTCATGATCCTAAATCCATGCCTGATGTGAAGTTGACATAAATCATTTCAACCTTAATTTCCATTTCCTCAGCCATTGTGTTGAGTGTTCGGTATGCCCTTCCTGTCTCTTCAGAGCTGTTAACTTCTCAGCTGTAAAGGACTCTGAAATCTTCAGGTGAAAGTTACTCCATAAATATCTATAATAAAAAAAATGTTTATACTCAAATGGATAACATGCATGTATACAAACACAATTCCCTCATTATAAAATAATTTGTATTATAGAAAAGTATTGAAATAATAAAGTCTTTACTTTCCATACAGAATACTCATACACCGAAATTACTATCTGACACACAGATGAACATGGTTAATGCTTTACATATTTCCTCCCAGTCTTTTTTCATGGACAAACAGTTGTGATGATGTTGTATACAAGTTTTGACATTATAGAATAAGCATTTCTTCTTGATATTAAAAACTTTTTCTCAACCTCATTTCCATTGCTATAATTAATTTAAGCAAAGATCAAACATTGAGCTCAAAACTGAACAAATTATCAAATGCAGGTATCCTGGAGGGTCTTCCATTTCAAACTTCTTAGCCACTCCAGGTGTAACTGATGACCTTTGTGTGAACTTTTTCTGTCACCAGCAGCCCTGGGGGACAGGAAGAAGAGGTGCACACAGCTGTGGTTTAAATAGGATCTCCAGGTAGTCCGACCCTTCCCTCGCCATTGAGAATGACGGGTCTCAATTCTGTGCTTTCTTTGCTCTTCTGCACTCAGCTGCGAGAGAAGCAAGCATATGTGGAGAAAGTTGAGAAGCTGCAACAGGCCCTGACCCAGCTGCAGTCCGCATGTGAGAAGCGAGAGCAGATGGAGCGCAGGTTGCGGACCTGGCTGGAGAGAGAGCTGGATGCACTGAGGACCCAGCAGGTGAGGGACAGGCTTAAGCAGCAGGTGAATTAGATTCTTGTCCACAGGATGGAGGCCCCTGTGAGCCAGCCACTGCAGTCTGCCCTGAGTGCAGTGGGGGAGTCAGGTGGGCTACTCACTGTGGAGGAACACAGAGAGGAACAAAGGGGTCCCTGACTTGGGTCTAGGGGGAGGATGGAATTTGCCTTTAAATAGCTTCAGAGAGGAGGAGACGTGAGCTGGACTTTGAAAGGTAAGGTTTGGGATATTCAGGGGCAATAACAAGGAGGTAGAGGAAGAGGAGGATATGTGAAGGAAAGGGTCGTGAAACATCATGGCAAGTCTAGGGCGGTTTTGGTGCCGCTGTGAGCAGGCAATGCAGTGAGATCACGGTGAGGAGCATGGCTCCATTGCAGAAAGCCTTGGGTCAACTGGCGGGATTGGTCTTGTTCCTGTAATTAAAAGAGAGCCAACACCTCTGAGGTTTTTAAGTTGGAGGGGAATGTGACACAGAGGATCAGGGACAGAACCATCTAGAGCACAGATGGTGGCCAGGCTGAAGGCTGCTAGTGTGGTGTAGGAGCAGAATCCGTGGTACAGCTGAAACCACTGTAAGGGATTAGAATCAGAACATGGTGATCATCGAGTCTTCAGGGGAAGGAGCTCAAGACCACTCCTAGGAAGTGGCACTGGCCATAAGCTATTCCTTCTGCCTCTTCTCTGCTGGCAACAGAGAGGAGATAGTGGAACTCACCTCTGAGTAAGTGCTGAGTAGAACAATCCAGCTCAGGGTCCATGGGTGCTTCAGTACAGAGAAGTCTGCAAAAAAGCTCCAGTCCAGGTTCATCAAAGGTTCCCGGTTGCAGATGACCTCTGCCAACATGGTGGACAAAGCCCTTTGTAGAGCTGATGAAGGGTGTGCTGTATATTGGGATATCAGGGAAATGCAAGGCAGGCTCTGTGGAATTATCTACTGGATAGGGCATAGTGGTTGTGATTGAAACACTTGAAAACACTTGAAAGCATGAGCTCAGGTCCACTCCACCCTCTTGCCTGGCAGGCCATGCAGTTTCCACTGGGTGTGTGCACTTGGGAAAAGAAGGTGTTACCAAGATTGCCCAGAAAATCCAGAAACCCACCCCGACCTCCTACCACCTTGCCTGGTTGATGGCTTGCAAGGAGGAGTAGGTCTTTCTCTGGTCTTCTGAGACTTAGAACCTGTGCCACATATTCTGGCATCGGTTAAGCCCTTTGCCTGTTCTCTGTTGTTCAGTTACTGAGATCCGAACCTCCCCAACATGAGGGCAGGCTTCTCTGGTATCCAGTACAGTAGACCCTGGCAAGTCTTTGGCTGTCAAAATGGGCACATCTCAATATTTAGAGTCAAAAAGAATGTTCTTTTCCAGTTAATGTGCTAGCCACACCCTGCAATTTGGTTACTGAATTTGGCTCTTCTTTTGAGTGCTCTGAAACCAGACTCTGTTATCTTTGTGATGGATCAAGAAGAAATGTGAATCTGGAATTATTTGAAAAATACCATCATTGCCACAGAGGACAGTTCGCTGCCCACGTGCAGACTCGTGCTCTCTCACTCACATTATTTCCTCTGTCCTCCTCCTGCCATATGCAGAGGCAACTGACAGACTAGGCACACCTCAGAGGGCCCCAGTGTTAGAATCGAGGTTCTCCAGGGAAAGGGCTCAGCTTGCCATTTCAGTTGTCTTCAGGAACTGATAGATCTGCAGCTGTGTATGGCTGACATGAGACCAGAGAGGAGGAGACAATCTTTAGAGTTGAACAGAACATGGATGCTTGACATTTCTTTATAAAGAATATTGCAGTTTGATTTGTTTAAAATGAAAGTATGATTATATCCCCTGTGATATGAAATATACTTGAGATTTTCCTGTTGCCTTTGCCCTCTTGTTAAAAAGATACGCGTTACTTTTTTCTTTTAATAGTTCTTTATTTTCTAATTTTACCATTGAGTATACATTATTATATAACCAGAAAAGGTAAAAATATTACAAAATAATGCAACCAAATATTCTTGAGTTTTGCTCCAGTGCCATGTGGCAGATGCTGTAAAAGGTAGAGTCTGGTCACACTCAGGTCTGAAGCCCCTGGACAAGTGTGGAGCAGTTTTGCTGGCACCCGGCAGGGATGACTTGGAGCCCACTCAGGAACACAGGATCATCTGAGCATCGTGACCTTTCCAGGAAAGACTGTCCCAGGCCTCTCCCATCTCCTCCTCCTCACTCACCCACACAGCCAAGTATATGCCTGCCCCTTCTTGACTCGGACATGAGCAGCCTTGGGAGAGCTTCCACAGCCCACACCACACCCTGCTCCTTCACCCTCTGTGGCAATCAGGCATTTATCCCACCTCTTTAGAAATCACACTATAACAAAGCTGAAGTCACACTATAACAAAGCCTGGGGTCATCTCCACCCTCAGCAAAGCAGTAAGACCAGTCACTCTGTCTGGCCACTTTCCCCAGGACAAGATTCTGAAGAGTGGCTTAGAGTACTTAATGGATCAACACCCTACACAAAGGCTTTGTCCTTAGACTAACACTGGGATGCAGCTGAGTCTGTCCACCTGGCCCCCTCAACTACCTTGTCTATAAAGTGAGGAAAACTGATTATACTTAGCTCATGCTTGTAACAACAATTGAGAAAATCTGCACAAAAGCGCTTCTTTAGCAATTGGTTAGAAAAGGCAAACTCTCAGTGCTGCGTTTATATTAACATCATTACCTTCAGTGTTATTTGAAGGCTTAGGGCATTCTTGGTATCCTCTCCCAAATTCTCCACTTACCCAACTTTTCCACTGGAAAAAAAAAAAAGGGGGGGGTGACAAACAGAAGTAAGGCTGATTGAAGAGTCAGGGAGAGAAAGAAAGGTTAGGACTAGCCTATAAAGAAACTCAACTGATCTTGTCATTATAGGTCACATCTCCTCTACCACGAGGTGACATAGTACTTTAATATCAATAGAAACTGTGAGGGAGATGAAAGATAAAAATGGGAGGGGAAAAATTTATATATTTTAAAATTTATATATTTTAAGAGCTTTCAATTTCATCTTTTTTTTTTTTTATTTTTAAACAAAGAACTCTAAGTAATTTTCACTTCTTCCACAGTAGTCCTGTTGGATCTTATGAGAGAAGGTGGGATTGTTCTGGAAGTGAGAAATGAGACACAGGGAAGTTAAGGGGCCAGCCCAAGGTCATGTAGCTCACTGAGACATTCTTTGATGTGAGCTCATCGAGGGCAGAGATTTTGCCTGCATTGTTCACTGTTGTATCCCTGGCACATGGTACTTATGCAGTACATATATGTGGACTAGCTAAGTAAGTGGGTGTCATAAGCTGTCCTGCCTGACCCTCATTTTGATTTTCTAACTAGCAGACTTACTCATTAGCCCATGCTCTCTGTACTCTTGAAGGCTGAAACTTGTGTATTAATTACATAACTTGATGACCCAAATTAGGGGGACTGTGAAGAGTTTGTCATTATCTCATGTGAGGTCAAGAGGATTCTGCAAAAACAAGCCAGATGAGATGGTAACAGAAAAGATGTAGACAGAAACTGACAAGCATAGATGGCAGCTTATGAGGCCGTGGGAGCTCTTTCTTGGAAAATTTCTAAAAATAGAGGAGCTTCTCATCTGGTGGACTGATTCATCTGTCCTCCTGCCTGAGTCCGGGTGCCTGGCCAGATGGGATCAGTGATTTCCTGTACAGGTCAGGTGAGGACAGGTATGTGCCTTTCATTGTATTTTTACTTAAATGTCAGTCCCCGACAAGCTGCCTCTTTCTGGGATAATTTATATTTGGAATTTTTAAAAGCTGAATAGAAAATCCCATAGGCACATTTGTTTTCTTCTCTGCTAGGATTAGATTACATCAGTGCAGATCAATACCCAGCTGCTGTTGTAGGTAATTCGAGTCCTTTCTTAATCTAGAACATTATGTGGGTCTCGGTGAAACATTTAAGTACCTCTCACCTTGCAAGTAGCTCTACATTTAAAATTTGTGATCACTGGAAAACATGAGGGGAATGCATGTCCCAGGATGTACAACAGCTGGGATGAAATCATTCTCCTCTCAAGTGCAAAGGAAGCTGGCTCATGTTCAGACTGGGCACCTAAACCTGAGACTCTGAGATGTGACATTTCTGTTGCTGGTTTGAGTTTAGACTTTCCTGGAAAACCCCATCATCTCCCACGTCATGCTTCTTAGGGAAATAGCATACCTGAATTCAGAGAAAAAAATTCTGAAATGTGATCAGTCCAGGTAATAGCCATTTTATTTCCTCTTACCAACACAGATGAAAAGAAAGGGCCAGAAAATGACCTTGTCTTGCATTAGACATCTCTTGCTTTCACGTACATTATCTAATTTGCTTCTTATTCTCAGGCCTTTGGCGGGGCAAATCTTTATACCTCCACTGCCAGAGACTCTGGCATCTGATAGCAGGCATGTTGGGCATCTCACTCCTGCTTTCTGGCCTTTCCTTTTTGTCTTCAAGCCCCAGGGGAAGCAATCAGCTGGAATCACTTCCTTGAATTATGGAGAAGTGTCCTGGACATTGCTCTTGTATTTGATATAAGTAGACTGCATTGCCTTGGACAAGCCACTATTATCATGCAAAGTCCCTGAGCTGTGGAGCCAGACTCAGTTTGAATCCCAATTCTACTACTGATTGAGAGAATGTTACCATTAATTTAACCTCTCAGAAGCTTATTCTCTCTGTACAATTGGGATATTGTTTGTTTTACAGAATTGTATAGCTATTAAGTGAGATAGAGGACTGTGGAGGTAAGGTGGTGTGTTAATCAGCTTTTTCGCTGCTGTGGCTAAAGGACCTGAGGAGCGCAACTATAGAGGAAGAAGAGTGTATTTGAGGGCTCATGGTTTCAGAGGTCTTAGTCCATAGAAGGCCGGCTCTATTTCTTGGGGCTTGAGATGAGGCTGAGCATCATGGCAGAGTGTGTGGCAGAGGGAAGCAACTAACATCATGGTGATCAAGAAGCAGAGAGACCCCACTCTCCAGATACAAATATATACACCATAGCCACACCCTAATTCCCACCTCCTCCAGCCACATCGGACCACTTCAATTACCACTCAGTTAATCCCTATCAGAGGATTAAATCACTGATTGGGTTAAGACTCTTACAACCCAATCATTTCTCCTTGGAACCTTCCTGCATTGTCTCACACGTGAGCTTTTGAGAGACACCTCACATCTGAATCATAACAGGTGGCATGGTGTTTGTATCCACTGAGTTCAGGCGGTACACATTGGAGAGAGGGAACATGGGCATGATAGGGTTGTGTGTGAATTGCTGCAGGGTCTCGAGGACCGTGTGTGCTTCATGTGGGTAACTGTGAAAACAGGGTTGATGTGGTCAACCTTAGAGCCCATTTTGAGCACCACAATGTTATTTCTGCTTATCCAGAAACATGGAAATGGCCAGCCAGCCAGCATGCCAGAATACAATGCTCCGGCCCTCATGGAACTCGTGCGGGAGAAGGAGGAGCGGATCCTGGCCCTGGAGGCTGACATGACCAAGTGGGAGCAGAAGTACCTGGAGGAGAGCACCATCCGTCACTTTGCCATGAGTGCTGCAGCCACTGCTGCAGCTGAGAGGTGAGACAGCGGCGCTCTGCCCATCAAAAGAGCACCACTGGGAAGAACATCGAACCAAAACAAACAGGATCCAAAGTGGTCCAGAGGCTCTTCCCTGGAAGCAAGCTCAGCTAAAGATAATCTCTTAGAGGCTGCAGTGCTATTGGAGAGTAAATGGTGTACATTCCTGGAGGATAATTTGGCAATGTGTACCTTTCCTTTGGTTTTAAAATTCTCATCTAGACATTTGTCTTAAGGAAATCATCACATGAGTGCCTAAAGAGTCATGTCCAAGGATGTTTATCCCAGTGTGGCTGAAAATACCAACACATTTCAAACAGCCTAGAATCTAACAAGAAGAGATTAATTTAATAATATGAAGTGTACCCACACATTGGGATACTATGTGATCTTTAAGAATGATGTTGGGAAAGTATATTTGTGATTCTTTTTAATACTGGGTCTGTATCATGAGCCAGAGGAGAACATATAATCCTCGTCTTGACCCTTAGAACAGGTATCCTCATTTTACAAGTGAAGGATCAAGGCTACGAGAGGCCCAGTGGTGGGTTCCATATTGTGCTGGTAGGTAGTAGAGGACCTTGGTCACATGGAGATCTTTCTGACCTAAAACCTGATTCATGTAGTTCAAAATCTTTTTCTGCTGTTCAATGTTTACCTCTGTTGTTTTACTTTCTCTCTGTAGGTAAGAAGTCTTTTTCTTCCTTTAAAATTAGCTCAAAATATGCCATAATCCACAAAAACCACTCACAAAGACTGTTGTCCAAATGAGCAAGGCAGTGTCCATTGCACTTCGACTGCTGGGCCTTAGCTGTAGTCCTAATGACTGCTCATACTGAGTGGCTTTGCTTGGGCTGGTCAGGCCCTTCACTACCTTTCACTCAGTTTACTTTTTTCCCAGAAGTCATATTGGGCATTTAATTTAGTTCACCAAAATGTAGGGTCAGTACATTTGGAGGGGAATCTTCAATCTCAAAGCAACATTCAGAAAACCAGACCTCTTAGAAAATGAGAACTATTGTTCTGCTTGGAATGGTAAAAGCCAGTTATGTAGTCAGCTCTTCATTGCATTGGGATAAAAACTTATTTCTTCTCTAATGAGTATAGGAAAGCCTGTGTCCATGGAGGGGTTATTTTATATAAGCTGTTTATGGGCTCTCAGATTCATCAATAAGTAAAGAAATATCCCTGGTAGCATGCTCAGATGTTAGCTCCTGGGACTGGAGAAAGCAGAGAAAGCAAAGATTGCCATCTCATGGGCTAGGTGTCTCCACTGGGCACCCCAGCATTCTGCACCTGGGAAAACCTGCAGACTCGTGGAAAATGACCACTTTGAAATCATTTTCTACCATGTATATGTTGCTTCTGTATGTCCTTGCTTTGAGGGAAAACCACCTAGAGTGTTCATCCAAGTGAGACTCTGGGAGTGGAAATATACAACCTGAGAAGATACGAATGCTCCAGAATTGTGGGGTGAAAGTTGAAGGGAAGTCATGTTTTCCAGCCCAGTCTCCGTACTCTATAGGTGGCAATAGTGAAGCCCTCTGAAATATTTGTTGATTTTTACATAATTGGAAGATTTTTATTTTCAGCTTTTTAGGGTTTGGGTTTTTTTTTTTTAACCTTTTTGAAATTTTTAATTAATTTATTTATTTGTATGTGGTGCTGAGGATCAAACCCAGGGCCTCACACATGCTAGGTGAGCACTTTACTGCTGAGCCACAACCCCCAGCCCCCAGCTTTCTTTCTTTCTTTTTTTTTTTTTTTAAGCTGGTAACTACCTTTCTGTCCTAGGTATGAGAACAGAACATCATACAGTTAGAAATTTGGCCTTTTTTAAAAATAATTTTTTAGTTGTTGATGGACCTTTATTTTATTTATTTATATGAGGTCCTGAGAATCAAACCCAGTGCCTAGGCAAGCACTCTACCACTGAGCCATAACCTTAGCCCAAATTTGGCCTTTTTTTAAAAAAAAACACATGTATCACTGTCAATGATGTCCCTGGGGGTTTGCTTTCTCTGTGTGGGTTTAAGAGGAAAGATTTCTGCACAGGGAGGCAGGAGATCTGCATTCAAGACCTCTCCATTTATTGCTGATTGTGGGTATAAGATCTGGGATAAGCCTTTTGAGGGTTTCTGATCTCATGTATGAAATGGAACTTATAATTCTGGACTAGTTAAGAGCAGGGAACACATTCCTCTAACTGAGGATGTTAAAGTGCCCATAGCAGTGTACCTGTGTCACCCTGGAGAGATGACAAAGGGCCCTTCATGTATTATTATTGTTTCAACTTCTATTAATTTTTCAGATTAGACTCTGTTTGGGATCTTGGGTCCTAAGGGGATGATTGGAACTGGACCATACAATCAGAAGTGGTGGATAAATAGACCCTGTGATGGGTACAGGGAGGAGCACATAAGAAGAACCACACAGACCCTCTCACAGATTCTAGGCCCAGAGTTGTTCACTAGCCTTCATACAGGAGGAAATGGCTCTTATCTCAGAGAATGGTAGTTCTGTGGGATTTTTCCCAGTCTTGTTGTTCTTTGCCCTGTTTGGAGGCCTAAATGGAGAGTTGGAGTCCCTTTCTACCATCCCTCCCTCCCCCCCCCCTTGTTTATTTCCACATATCCTCTTCAAGCATCTGATAATTCTGTGGGAAACTGCCCTCCCCTTTGTAGCCTTACCCCTTCCCACAGCCAGAACAAGGGTGAGGGGGCTGGATTCAGAGATGTGCAGATATTTACTCCAGTTTTAATGTTCTTTTCATAGAAAATCTCTGAAATGTCAGTGTTGCCTTTCTGTTGATAACAAGGTGGCGCAGTGGGGTGGGGAGAAAAATAAAGCATTTTTGAGAAAGGTTGAAATTCTAAGCTCACGTCTAGTTGCTGAATTGTTACAGATAAATTGGTAAAAATTATTATTTCCAGCTATTAGTTTTGTGGCTTTTCAGCCACTGGTACATGGGTCACATTTATAAGCAGTGATCTTTAAACAAAGAATATAATTTTTATAAACTAACTGATTTTGTCATCTTTATGCATCTTGCTGCCACTGATCAGGATTGTTAGTGGCTTAACTTATTTTCCACATGTGGAGAAGGTTTTGAAACTTTTTATGAATTTCAAAGCAATGCATTATTTACCTTCAATGTTGTTCTCATCTAATTGTGCCTGCTGTCCTTACTTGTCAGTATAAGCATGAATTTTTAAATTTGTAATTCTATGTGAGTTCTCCAAAAGTCAGTTGGTTGAAAATGTTTCCAGTCGCTAATTCCTATATTGATGAATTTTGTGCACTATAGAGTAATTTTATAATTTTGTAAATATATTTAAAACATTTTTTGCCTTATTATTTGCTTTTATGATATGTTTTCAGTCATAGTTTGCATTTTTTGAGGCACATTCTACATATGTACCCTCTTTATGTGTACCTTGGCTGAAGCCTGCTTCATAAAGGCAAATGAAACTTCAAGAAGTGTAGTAGAATGGACATGGACATGGGAGTTATCACTCTCTGAATTTGAATCAGTGTCCACCATTTACTAATTGGGTGTTCTTGGAAAAGTCATCTGGCCCTGGTTTCATCTGTACATTGGGGGCTAATACCTGCTACACACATTATAAGAACTACATGAGAGACCACGTGTACCATGCTTTGCCCAGTCCTGCATGAAATAATGCTCATTCATTGATAGCTCTTGTGAAAAAGGGGCCTCTGGTTTTTTTGTTGTTTTGCTGTTTTTGGATAATCTAGAAGAAGCTTTAAGGCTTTCAATATGATTGTAGCCTTGGAATATGAAGTTAAAGAGATGTGAAATATTTAGTTGGATTATTTCTTATGAATTTAGTATTCACATAATCAGGCATTATTGTGTATCTTAACATATATCACAAAAATGGCTCATTATATTTTTGCTTATCACTGAATTTGGAGAGATTAAATTGACAAAATTAGTGGTAGGAATAGTTATCATTTGAAAAAAATTTTTTTAGTTGTCAATGGACATTTATTTATTTATTTATTTATTTATATACAGTGCTGAGAATCAAGCCCAGTGCCTCACACATGCTAGGCAAGCGCCCTACCATTGAGCCACAACCCCAGCCCAGGAATAGTTATCTCTGACCGGCTCTTTTCAGACACCTGCTTTCGGATGAACTGCTTTTTCATTTACCTACATCTTGTCCTTGTGTTCTCTCTGCCCACCTCAACTGAACTTTCAGTACCATGTGTCTGTCATCTTCATCTTTCTTCCCGGTACCCTGTATGTTTGTTACTTTGAACTGACCTGAATCCTAGGCAAGAGCCCATAAAACAAGAAGGGAAGCAGCATAGAGACAGGAAGAGAGAATTCAGCATGGGGCCTCTCTGCCCAAGAAGATCAATCTCAGCATCTATCCATTACTGAATCCTTTTGCTTTTACTGTAAAATACCGAAATACTGCTGTGTAGATGATACATACAGGTGGAACTTTTAACTCTGATTGGAAGAGTGAGATGAGTATGAAAAATCCAAACATAGAAACACCAGTAAATAAAATGATAAAGTATCCCCGTGCCAGTAGATGAAATCCATAGGTGCCCCATCTATATATTTATAACCTACCACATAGATTAATATGCAAAGTTCTTAGTAGAAGGGTCAGACAAGTTTGATATTGAATTCTATTTTGCTTTCCCTAGACACTATCTTACTTCTTTCGAGTTCAGGAGGCGAATTGGCCAGGATATAAGAAAGGAAACTGGGTGAAGGAGTTTGTGGATGTTGTTAGCATGCACCCTTTGGTTGCCTGTTCATGAGCATTTGCACATTTTGTTGGATTTGATGAGATTGATAAATGAGCGAGGAAGTGGAGACAGGAGGCTTTTAAGATCCAGGGGAAGGTAAAGAGAAAATCTCTGTTCCATCATGAACACCAGATTGTCCATTCTGTGTCTGTGTTGAAAATAAGCAAGAAGGCTCTGTGATCCAGTGCATGTCCTGTGTTCCCAGGGACACCACCATCATCAACCACTCAAGGAACGGCAGCTATGGCGAGAGCTCACTGGAGGCCCACATCTGGCAGGAGGAGGAGGAAGTGGTGCAGGCCAACAGGAGGTGTCAGGACATGGAGTACACGTAAGGGACCTCTGTGTGCAGTGGAACCCTTGGGCACCACTCTGACAGCTTACACTTCACCCAAGTGGGACCATCAGCTGCTATAGCACCCCCACTATAGCCCTTTCAGAGAGGATTGCTTCTCTGGCCTGTTCTGAATTCTGTGAGCTTGAGGTCTCCAAAGACTTTCACCTGCCCTGGAGAGAAGGGAAAGGTTCACACCTAAGCAGGTGGCTTCACTTAGCAGGAGGACTGGTGTTGGTGCTTTTGGGGGCATTGCTGCAAGTCAGTGTAGGCTTTAGGATGGAGGCTGAGTGTAAGGAAGGGAGAATTTAGATGCCTGTGCTATTTCTGGGTGTACATCTCTTTTACCTTCCAGACTTTATGGGCTGGAAAGGAGAAACCAATTCTATTCCAAAGATCCAGAGGTTTTTGAGCCAGAGTTTACATATTCTAGCCAAAGATAAGGAACTTGGTTAACTCATTCTCTGTGGGGCTGCACAAGATTACCTGCGGGCTTTTTAACGTTATAAAACTAGCCTGCCCCACTTGACTACCTGAGGACCTGTGGAGATGTGAAAATAGGGTTGCATGGTTGAGCCATCAGTAGTCACTATCAGAGTTGTGAAATGAACTCAGGTATTTTCTGGTTCCCACTTTGGGCCATCCATGAGGGAAAAGAACCTTCTTCCATATCTTCATTTTCCCCTTAGAATGTGAAGAAGCTCACCCGTTTGAGCCTTAGTTTCTGGGTTCCTCTGTTGCTTCCCGTACTAGACCTGCTAAATGTGGTCCCAAGCACATTGGTCCAGGGAGTCTCTAGCAGGTGGCCATGGTCATTCTCACCACACCTCCCAGAAGTCCCACTCTCTTGAGGTGTCAGAGAAAGGTATGCCCTTTTGACCTACTACAAAAGACCCACCTTATGCAATTTGAAAATTCTGAATATTTGAAGACTTGTACTGTACTTGACCCTCCACCCTGAGTTTCAGTTTAAGTCTCCAGGACAACCTGAGAAATATGTTTCAGATTTTTCTAACTAAATAAACTTTATTAAGACTGTTTTGATTTGTTTCACAGTATTAAGAATCTCCATGCCAAAATCATTGAGAAGGATGCCATGATTAAAGTCCTCCAGCAGCGATCCCGTAAGGATGCTGGGAAGACTGACTCCTCCAGCCTTCGGCCAGCTCGCTCTGTCCCGTCCATCGCGGCGGCCTCTGGGGCACACTCCCGCCAGACCTCACTTACCAGCAACCAGCTGGCCGAAGAGAAGAAGGAAGAGAAGACCTGGAAAGGCAGCATAGGTGAGCCCCACTCCTCCTTCAGACCAGGATCTAGAAAGCAAGATCACACAAGTACTGAGAGGCGGTCTTCCTGCCATTTGTGGGACACAGGAATTTCCCTAAATATTTCCTCATCTTAGTTTACTCCTCTGTAAGTTGGGACAGACAATCAGTCATACTTTGGTTGTAGAAATTAAATGGGCTATGTGGAAGCCCTGTGTAAATTCTGAAGGCAGCAGAGTAGTTGTTAGCCTTAAGTGGACCCATGTCATTATTGTTGAAATTTGAGGTGACACACCAAAATGTCCTAATAGAAAAGGCTTAGATACATCAGGCCTCTGAACTGGGCTCTGCTCCAAGCCTTTGCTTCTGTGTCTAGAAAGAGTTCAGGTCTGCCCTGCTTTGCCCCATGGGGCATGGGAAGGCCATGTGAGATGACGGGGAAGCATGTTGGAGGAAGTGCTCTCAAGTGTGAGGTGGTGGCTCTTGCTGTGTTGTTGTTGTTGTGCAAGCAGAATTTTGAGAATTCTACAAGTGTGGTCCTAGCCAGAAGTGGGTTTCCTGAAGGGAGGGCAGTATTCCTTGACTGCCTGGGTTAGTGAGGAGAGGAAGTGGGCAGCTCTCTCTCTCTCTCTCTCTCTCTCTCTCTCTCTCACACACACACACACACACACACACACACGCTCTACTCCCTTCCCCTGCATTCTGGCAACTCCAGGGATCTGGCCCTTCTTTGATGCATGTACCTGGGTCAGTGTGTGTTTTTGTTTCTCTGCTGAGCCCAGAGCCAACTTTCCCCAGCACGGGACCCCAGAGGAGCCTGGCTGCTTTGTTCCAGAGGGGATAAGAGCTTCCATATGAACCCAACAGAGTTGGGGGGATCAAAGGCTCCTAGCTAGAATCACTGTTTGAAGTCCCTCCACTGGTGGCCGTAGCAGCCCCTGCCCTCAAAGGAAATTCACTTCAAAGAGGACATGTGTGGACAGCAGCTGGGATCATCAAACCCCATCCCAAGGACACTTAGCTATCCTAGCCCAGTGAGAGAGCAGAGGCGATGCTCAGGCAGCCCTGGTTAAGGAGTTTGAAATTTGCTCAGCTCTGGTGGAAATGTCTCTGGGAGAAGCCCATGTTTTGACCTACAGCCAGGCAAACACTCTAGTGTCTTTTCCCCAGGATTTAGCAGTTCTAAATCAGGTCTGGGAGCCACGGACCTTGACCTGAAGGAAGAGTGGCTGTATTGTCTGCACCATATTCCTCTCTGTTATTGTAATTGGTGTCCATGTCTCACAAAAACAGGGAGGGACCCCTAGGGTCCAGGCAGAGGCATTCATTCAGTCCCCCACATTTTTGTCTTCTCTTACCTGATCAGCTTTGGGAGGAGGCAGAGATGACAGTGTCCACCTTCCTTACTGCTCAGAGGCTCATAGGAGAGAAGCTGCCTAGTGATTTACTCAACCCATTCACCCTGAGAACATCTTGTCAGACTCCAGAGTTTCACCAGGCAGGTTCAGGAGGAAAGAGTGTAGGCTGAGCTCCAGATCAGGCATGGCTAGGTTTGACTCCCTTCCTGTTGCTTCTTAGCTGAGAGAAGTTAATTTCTCTGAGCTTCCATTTCCTTCTCTGTTGACAGAGGATAAGACCTACCTCACAAGAAAGTTGTGGAATACAAAGTAAGATAATGTGTTAAGCCCTAGGACAGCAGCTGGGATCATCAAACACCATCCCAAGGACACTTCGCTATCCTAGACCAGTTAGAGAGCAGAGTGGATGCCCAGGCAACCCTGGTTAAGGAATTTGAAAGGCCGGTTGCCCTTACTACTCAAAGTGTGGTCCGTGGACCGACAGAAAGGCAGAGAAGCTCAGGCCCAGTTCCTGCATCATTTCTTCATTATAGCCATACAGCCAAGTAATTGCCAGGCACGTTGCATTTTGAGAAATATAACATGGTCACACTGAAATTCCCTGAGTTATGAATGGGCACCTTGAATAGCTCTGGCAAGAATACCTTCTGAATTGCTGGGTCCTTACTAAGACAAATGAACAAATACTTGATTGTGCTTACCACTTCTCCTATAGACCAGAGTTCTGAGTGCTGGCACTTTTCTGAAATGTGTGCTCTATTTAAAAATAGAAAAGTTACCTTCCTATCCAGCTTTGTAGGAAGACTGAGGAAAATAGATGCCTCTGCTCTCCATACCTCCCTCCTCCAAGCCAGCATGCCCTCTTTCCCACCCCAGCCTCACCACTTTCTGGGGAGGTCAAGGACAAGGCTCAGTGGCCCTTTCCAGGAGCCCAGCTGGCTCCTTCTTCTTGGGGGCCATAGCTCTGTGGGGGAATAACATGTACGACTTGGTGGTTGTCCCAGCCAGGGAAGACATTTGTTTTTGAATCTGGCAGTAGGAGACACACGACTGACCAGTCAGGGTCACTCCAAGTGAATTTTGGCTGACTAAAGAAGACACAGACACAGAAAAGTACCTTTTCTTTGGGTTCAGTGACCGCTCCTCAGCCACAGCTCCCACAAAGGGGGCAAGGCAGGCAAGAAAGAGAGTGAGCATACCTAGAACCTGAGTTTTATTGGGGATAAGCCATTCAAATGAGGCAAGAGGTCAGGTTTCAGGGAGTTGAGTCTAGCTTCATGATGTCTTGCTGTCAGCAGATTGACTGACGTCTTGGAAGGTCACACCCATCTCATGTGCTATGTGATGATCAAAGGCAGAGCAAGCGAAAGGGATACATACTACACAGCCCAGACAGAGCAGCATCTCAGAAGAGCAAAGGGACAGTGGGAACATGTCTAGGACCAGGGAGGCCTTTTAATTTTCCTCAGGTGTAGCATGTCTCCCCCAGAATCTCCCCGGGACATGTTGGGTAAAGTAAGTGTGTTCTCTAGAAAGCCTTGCAGGAGTCTCCTCACTCTTTCCTGTAACATGTTATTTGTTTGTGGACACCATCCTATGAATAATTTCATCCTATGACTTTTATTATAACCTGATGACTCCTCCTCCTCTGCAGAAAAAAAAACTACCATTTTTTAGAGATGGGACTGAGTCGCTCACGTTTTTATTCTCTCAGTGTTTGTCACAAAAAGTGTGTATTAAGTGCTTGGTGAATGAGTCAATCAATGAACGAAGCAATCCTCAGTCAAGAAGTAAACAATTTCCAGGTTTCGTTTCCAGGTTTCGTTTTTAAAAGAAAAGAGAAGAATATCACTGAAAAAAACTCTTTTTCTGCCCTCAGGGTTGCTGCTGGGGAAAGAGCACCATGAGCATGCTTCTGCCCCTCTGCTGCCAACTCCACCGGCCTCTGTACTGTCCCCTGCGGCTTCTGTAACGTCAGCCAGCAGTGCCCACGTGAAGACAGGCAGCAAGGACAGCAGCACCCAGACTGACAAGAGCACTGAACTCTTGTGGCCCAACATGGCCTCGCTCCCCAACCGCGGCAGGCTGAGCACCACCCCCTCCAACAGCCCCGTCCTGAAACACCCAGCCACCAAAGGGACTACAGAGAAAACCGGTATGTCCTCTATGTTCGAGACCCCACCGAGCCATGTGGGCCCGGGAAGGAGGTTTTTGTTGAGCTGGAGAGGGAGCAGCAGCACTTATAGGCTCTGCTTACTCTTTGTCATCATGGTGATAAAATGTGCAAAGACACTCCTAAGTCATTACCATGTAAAATGAGCACCCAGCTCCAGTCCACCCTGTAATGTTTACTTTCCCCAGAAGGAGCGAGGACAGCACCTCTGAGGAATATTAGGGTATGAGTGCCCTCCAGTACATTTGGTCCCCAGGTTCATAGATGGTGCCTTCAAGGCATTAACTTGCCAAGGATCCAGGCCTCCGTGGAAGACATGCTCATTGAAGGGGAAGTCGAGTGAACTCAGAGTTGCTTTAATTGCACCACAGCACTTGGGCCAATTCTTATGAGTTGTTTTAAATATTTAAGAGAAGAAAGCTAGGGAGGGTGAGTCCAAAGTGTCCAGGGGAAGAGTAGACTTGGCCTTGGACAATCATAATTCTGGGAATAGCTCTTTTCAGGAATTCTTTGGAGGAGGTGGGAATTCCTTGGGGACATGTGTTACCTGTTTCCTCCAAGGGGGTGTGGTCTTTGTTTTCACCCTCCAAAACGGACAGGTAAATTCAGTATTGTCATTTTTTGTAGATGTAATTCTTGGGATATGCTTTTCCAAGTAAGAAATGGAATTTGTAAGAAGTGCCTAGCCTGTAGGGAGTGCTTGGTGGTTTTGAGTGGAGGGAGAGTGGGTGTGCAGGTTCTGCACAAAGGCCCAGTGTCATCTTTTCTATTTAATCCTCTTCCATCAAGGTCCTCATTTTCATTTGTATCTGAATCCTGGTCTAGTCACTCATCGTTTTTCCACTGTGAGATGGATTACTTAGGCCTTTCCTGAATACTCTGTGGTGAGTGAGACTCCCAGGAGAGCCCCAGCATTTGAAATGAATTTGTTGTAGAGAGAGCTCATAAAGCCTCTGCTCTTCCTGAGGAATGCTGATGTTATTCCCTCTCTATTTGGCAGAGAACTCTTCTGGCCACGGGAAGTCACCGGAGCACAGAGGCCGCGTGAGCAGCTTGCTGCACAAGCCCGAGTTCCCTGATGGAGAGATGATGGAAGTTCTCATCTAACTCTGTCATCCCTGCTGAATGTCATTATGGAACACTGACAAACAAGGAGAGTGGCAGAGGAAAAGAAAGATCAGGAAGGTTGCAGATGGGAAACCAGGAATGATATGAACTGATAAGATTTCAGATTAATAAGAACATTTTTTATAGTTGTTAAAAACAAGAGACCTACGTGACTGCAGAGAGAAGAGAGAGCTATGCATTTTTAGAGCATATAGCAGAAGGGAGAAGATATGCATGTAGGTTTGGAAACAAAGTTAAGAAGAAGAAATAGGAAATGGAATTTTTTATTGTATAGAAATTGTACCTCCTGGGAAGGCTCTGTGTATACCCCATTCTCTGGTTATAAACAGATAAACCTAAACATGGGCCTTCCTTGGAATATCCCCATTCTCCTTGCCTCTTAGCATGTTTGGCTTAAGAAGAACCTTCTAGAAATCTCTAGAGCCCATCTTGATATAATGTAGCCCGCCTTACCATTGTGGGGTGTCCCATGAGTGTGTGGAGGTTTGGCAGCAAGAAGAAATGTCCAGGGTCATGGAGAATTTCAAAGGCGGGCTTCACCTAATTACCTCTTGGGTTTGAATTTTCAGGAGATTTATGGGCTTCTTAGGTTTTCTGGATTCAGCAGTGTTTTCTAAACAGGATGGAAGCATTATGATCTTGGTCTTTATTTTCCTTCACTTCTCTTGAGTTTCTCTGCTTTACTTGCTGTCGTTTTACTTTTTCATTGTTCCGTCATTTGTTTTCTTTTTAAGACATGACAGCCTTCCTTAGGTGTGGGACTTAGGACAGCAGCATCTGACTGTCATCCTTCTTGCTATGTGTAATAATGGCCAGTAGGACAAGCCACCTGCTGGCTTCCCGGCTGCTTTCTCCACCTTTGCACAGTGGGCTGCAGCTGTGAATCTCATGCTGACTGTCCGCTTTGACGAGACAGAGGGTTCCGTAGGTCACTGTGAGATCTTGCATCAAGATCACGGCACTGGCTTTTTTGTCTCACGTCATCTTTCTTGCAAGGAACCTGACATCCCATTTTTCTGCTAGGGTAAGACTTTCAGGATAGCTCTGCAGGAAATGGATGACAGTTTACAAACAGTCGTCTCAGTGGCATGGGGAATCTTGCCAGGCACCTTTGTACTACTTCCTTATATCTGGGGCTCACAAGCATGTTTACCACTCTCCCCTGCCCTGCACACTCCTCTGCCTGCTGTTGCGGAGCCTATAGACTTCTCTGCCTCAGCTTCTGCCATGAACTTGCTTTGTAATCTGTCAGGCCAGTATGTATACAATGTGGTCAGGTTTTTTCAAGATTTCAGTTGTGTGATAGTGTATCCAGAGTAAGACAGAAATGCCATGGGACAAGAGCCAGGAGTGAGTGAGGAAGTGGGCCTCTTGCACCCCTGCTGTGATGTTCACAAAGCTGCCCGTCCAAATCCAGGAGATGCTGGCTTAGACAAGAGGGCAAGCTCATCTGGTGTCATCTGCTCTTGCAGGGTCCTGAATCTTTCTCCCAGGTCAGCTGGATCCATGCTTTCCCAGGCCCCTTTCCTCATGCTTACTTTGGAGAAGGGGATGGAGGGGTGGAGGGAACAAGCCCTAGGTTTAAGACTTCGGTACCTCCTAAATGAGCACTGAAGACAATACTACTCAGAAACTTAGCTTGGGTAGCTTATTTTAGGACTGATGATCACAGTGTAACTGGGCAAAGTTAGAGCATCCCCACATTGAGGTAACAGAAAGAAGACGAGAGGTGAGAGCCAGAAAGGGGAGGGAGGAAACACATGGCTTGGCCAGAAGGCCTCTGATCTGTCTAACATGACAGAGTGATTGGGAACTAATGCTCCGAGCCCTGCTGTGGGGTGGGTCCTGAGCTTTGTGCACCTGCTTCTCCTGTAGTCTCACGTGGAACATCAGAGCAACTACTGTACAGAATGGGAAAGTGAGGCAGCTCTGAGACGTGAGTTGGCTCCATGCCCTGGTATATGGGAGAGTCCTCCTCAGTGGGGAAAGGGTTAAGTATGGCTAGGGTAGGGATGGGGCAGAGGGATCCCACCAGTCTCTGTTCCCCGTCAATTTTTCACAGGAATGAGGCTGAGTGAATCGCAACTAACTCTCTTAATGACATTTGTACCCCTATTAATGTTGGATAGAGACCAGAAAGCAAAGTGTCCAATGATGGGAAGTCACCTCTGCCAGCTCCACTGCCATGACTGAGCCACCCCAGACTTAGGCTGTCTCCCCAGCAATGGGTAAAACCGAGAGCCATAGCCCAGTTTCCCCCCAAAGCCTGATCTGCATGTTCCGAACACGAGATTGGCATTCTTGGGCATGAGGCTTGCTCTCGTGGGACCCCCTGCATCGTCAAAGATCTTTCAGAATACAGATGGAAACACCGTTTTTCAGGGCTTCAATTACAGTTGTGTGTGGCTTGTGCCAGTCTTCTTTTTTCTAACCTATTATGACCCCTCCTTGAGAAAGGGGATCTCTGGCCTTCATGTGTTTTCTTCTGTGGGAGATCTCCTGACAGCCAGGGACTTTTCAGCATCGTTGTTTGCTTGAAACCTAGCTTGCCTGTAGGACAAGGGGACTACAGGTGCTGTACGATGTCTTACATCATCTGATTTTGAGAAGAATGCTAGCTGTATTTTTTAATACTGACCATATGTGAGCACTGTAGTGAAATCTCCCTGGGTTGCAGGGGTAAGTTTACTGTCCTCATTACAGGAATACAGAAACTGGCTCAGGAGGGAGAAGTCTCTCCTCAAAGCCTCACAGCCAGGACAAGCTAGGATTTAAAGCAAAGGCTTAAAGAGGAGCCTAAACCACAGGTTTCCTGGCCTTAAACATGACCTGCAGCACTTCATCTGGATTCTCTGTGACTTTGTAATGTGCTTGTAAACACACACACACACACACACACACACACACACACATCTGTCTGCCACACCTCTCAGGGCCTAAGAAATAGGACTAGACCTAAAACTTCTAGAATTGCCCATAAACACCAGGCATAGCTGGAGATCTTTGTGTTCTATTCCGAGCACAGCTACAAAATATATCTGAAAAATACTTACAGGCTGTGGCTGTGGCTCAGTGGTGGAGTGCTTAATACCTACCAAGAGAAGCCCTAAGTTTGATTCCTGTAGATAAATTAGTTGGTTACATAAAAAAAAAATGTTCACATTTTCTGGAGTTCTAGACTTTTTCAGAAGTTCCCAGGGACATCTGATCATAGAATTTGAGGATCCTGTCTCCAGATGAAGGGTAAAATAAGACTTTGGCTTTTCATGAAAGTATCCCAGAGTAATTTGGCTTCATCCTTGAATGGGTTGTCGGGTCGTTTCTGTGTGATGCCAGGGTATGAGATATGGAATATTAGAAGTTGTTGGGTTTACTAGACATTCACTAACTAGCTAGTTCTGTACACAAGAACTATTACTGCTGTGGATTCACATAGCTAAGCTGCCAGGAAAAACATTGTTTTTCAAAAATCTCAGAGCATGTACAGAACACTTGCTCAGCATTTTCTTTTCTTGGCATTCCTTCTGCTTCCCACAGCTTGGTGGCCAGTGACAGTGTGGAGTTCACTTGTTCTCTCCATGCCTGCCAGGTAGGGCTGCCTAGTTCTACCCAGGCTTTGGTTGGGAGGGCAGAGATGACAGAGCCCCTCTGGCTACAGTCCCATGAGGGCTGCCCTTTGGAACCCTTGTGAGTCTACAGGGCTAAGAATGGATATCCAAACAGTTGCTCCAAATAAGTTCTGAACTTGGAACAGAGAACTTTGTGAATCTGTTGCTCAGGAAAGAGGCTTTCAGAATGTCCCTGCAGCCAGTCATTACTTCTATCCATTCTCACCTGGGTTGGCCTCTTTCCCTGGGTCCTTGTGAGGCAGTCGCTAAAGCACCTTTTTGCAGTGCAGGGGGTATGAGAAGTTGTCCTCCCTGACAGCCTTCAGAATCCCAGAGGGGATGCAAACATTACTGGGGCTGGGGTCCTAGGAGACAGTAGAGAAGAGATGGGGTTTAAAAGATTTCAAGACAGGCAGCTCACATGGGGACTGCAAGGACCTATACTGAGCAAAAAGATATGCTTCCCAAAACCAAAGTCGTGCTCCATGTCTGCACTGGAGCAACTGAGGAGCATGTTTTTCCGTGTTTCCTGAATGACATTGTACACTTCGTAGGTAAAGGAGTCTTGTGGCCATTTCAAGTGGGATCTTATGAGAATTTTTAATGGTGAAGGCTTTAAGAAGCCAGAGAGTATCTACCAATAGCTTCTCCATATCCCCAAACCTGAGGCAACCATGCTATATCCTTTATAAATGTTGACTTTCTTTTCTTTTTCTTTTTTTTCCTGCTAATTAATCCATGTGTTTGAAATGTTTTCATTTGATGTGAGAATTGTTTAGTGCATTTGCCTCTGGTGTGTGGATCCACAGAGATGGAAAGGATAATTAAGAAGTTTCCAGAAACTGGCCAGCTGGGAGCATGCAAAGGTCAGCATTTCAGTAAAAGAATTTCTTCTGGAACTAATGAGCAACTTTTCCTCTTCCTTTTTAAGAAGTGTACCCTTTTCTTATTTAGTAATTTAATGATATATTAAGATGTGTACATGTAAGTGCTTACATATGAGGTATGACTCTAGGGTTGTGAGTAGAATTTCTTAATATTCAGAAAATCCAAGTGTTTCATCTCACCCCATCTTCCTTTAAAATGTGTCCCTTTGGGAGACTATATACTGATGACTGCAGTGCTGTCTAAGTAATGAAAACACTTTGGGAACTCCTCTGTTAGAGTGACCTTCAGGACATGATATATGTTCCTTTGATTCCCCTTAGAGGTGAGGAATCTCCATCCTTTGAAGATGGATTTAAGTTTTGGAAATAATCCCAAGTTGTTGTCAGCACAGGTGAATGAATAAAGTTTGCAGTTAAAGTAAGTTAGACCATTCTTGTTTCTAAAAATGATCTTGAAGTGTCTTGGAATGAGTCTTTGGATTCAGAGCCTCTCAAAGTGCCCATTTAAGGAAGGACAGTACTCAGCAGAATGTGCAGCTTCTAGAGAATTCTGTTTTAGAAGGCTGTTCTCTTGCCATGCCTCGTATGTGTTCACATCTCTGCATACACGACAGATGTAAGTGCATATTCGTTAGTATGAATATCTGGTAGGTATTCTTTAAAACTGAGTTAGACTTAAGAGCATGTTATTGTCCTGTATGCTGTGACTGAGGTGTTTCTTTGTCATGAAACTTTGCTTCTTCACAGAGTTAAACACTGTCCTCTATATAAGGCAGTACATATACAGCATATTCTTGTATCAGCTGCTGAAGTTTTGACGCCCAGTGTTGTGTTGACATGT